TGATGATAAGCATTCTTCAGATCAAGAGTGCTGAATATGTCATATTGTGCGATTTTTTCTATCATTTCGTCAATCCTAGGTAATGGGTAAGCATCCAGAAAAGTGAATCGATTGATTGTCTGACTATAATCAACTACCATCCTCTTTTTATGGCGTTCGTTTGACGTAACAAGAACTTGAGCTCGCCAAGGAGAATTAGAAGGTTCAATAACACCTTCTTGCAGTAACCGGTTGACTTCGGTGGAAATAAAACTTTCATCTTCACGAGAATAACGCCGGGATTTTATCGCGATCGGTTTACAGTCTTTTGAAAGATTTTCAAACAGGTAGGCAGGTCGACGCGAACACAAGGTAGACCACAGAGAGAAAAAGGCGGCTTTGATCCCCCAAAAGGAATCTCAATGTGTTTGTGAAGTTTTAAAAAATCATGTCCAAGAAGGACGTCTGCACATAAATTATGAAGAATGGAAAATTTGAATAGATCATAAGTGTGGTTTTTATAGCAGATGGATAGAAAACAATGTCCTTCAGTATGACTAGTAAGATTCGTACTCGCCATTGTGATTCTGTTTCGAGACTTATGGACTTTCCAGTTATACTTACGAACAACTGAGGAAGAGATGTAGCTCTCACTGCTTCCGGTATCCACTAGAGCTTGCATTGATTTCCCATTGACAGTAAGCTGCGTAACAGCATCAGTGAGACTTTGAGGTGCTGAAGCCACAACGAGAGATGAAATTATAGAGTTAACTGAAGATGGACCTTTTTTCGTAGATGGCGCAGACCTGCAAACCTTCTGAAAATGTCCTTGCTTGCCACAAGCTTTGCAAACTGCATCACGGGCGGGGCATTTGGAACGAGGATGTCTACGATTACCACAGAAAAAGCATTTGGATTCAACGGCAGCAATGGTTGTTTCATTGACGGAGGGTGTGGAATCTGATGAATGAGGTACATCATGTAAAGAAATGGACGCGCAAGGTGTAACAGGATTGTTGTATGACTGCGATTGTTGATGTGCCATCTCTAGAGCTCGTGCTTGATCGTATGCCGCTTGAAAAGTTAAAGTACGCTGTTCTAATAGCCTCTGGCGTATCATCGAAGACTGTATACCTGAGATGAATGAATCACGTAGAGATTCGTTACGATGTTCTTCGGCTGTAACTGCCCTGAATGAACAATCTGTAGTCAGCGACTTGAGTCGACGAACAAACTGATCCAGATTTTCGCCAGATTCTTGTTTACACGTTGCTAACAAGTGTCGAGCAAACACTTCGTTGCAAGGCTGCATGTAGAGACTCTTGAGAGTGTCGATAGCTTCTTCGTATGTTTTGCATTCAGAAATGCATTCGTATACAGAAGTAGAAATATGATTGAAGAGAATATGTAGTTTCGAAGGATTTTCGGATCCCATTGATTCAATGAAGTAGGAGAAAGTCGCAAACCAGTGATCCCACTTCTTGGCAGCTCCAACTGCGTTAGGTTCTACGTCGAACCGATCAGGTCGGAAAAATCGTTCCATGAATATTGTAAAATGAATAAATTGTTACGAAGGTGATTGAGTCTTAGAACGATGAGTGATGCTTGAATCTTGAAAAGACGAATGAACCAAGAATTTAGGCTTTATTCATTTTACAATGAAGCCGGAATGGCTTAAACATATAAAGGGAAAAAAGAGTGTTAATAGCGGTAGAGATATGAATATGACTAGATACGTATTATAAGAAGAGTTCACAACAACCATTTCTTTCAAGCAATTATCAAACAGAATTACTTCACTGTCTAATTTATCAGGTGAACATATTCTTTTCACTCTGGAGAAAAGTGTTTTCACCAGCGTTCGCTTGTAACTGGCTGGGTAGAAGCTGTTGAAGTGTAAGTAGAGAACGCTCCATATGCCTTTACGATATATCAATCTCACGAGTGTCCCGTCCGATTTTCTTTCCAAGTTTATATCCAGGAAGTAAGAATTATCAGAGTTTTCGTGCTTCATAGTGAAAATGATATTCTTATGTACATTGTTGAATAAGCTCAATAGAGAAAAAGCATAACTCAAATCATTGCATGCGATGAATGTGTCATTTACGTATCTGTGGTAGGCTGTTTCACCAATTGCACACTTGAGTTTACTATGTTCTAAATTGACCTTAAAATTATATAATACTGGACCGAATGTACTCCCCATCTCCACTCCATCAACCTGGCGATACATTTTTTGCCGAACTGGAATTGTAATTCCTTGGTACATAACATGAGAAGCTGCCTAAATTCCAGTTTTGGCAGATGAAGCAAGTTAGCATATTGACAGACGATGTCTAATGTCTCATGCAGTGGGACCTGTGCGATTAGAGAAGTCACATCGAAGGAGACCACGAGTTTATCACTTACGTTAGGTTTACTCACTTTAACGAACTGGAACGAATCTTTCAGAGTGTGTTTGGCTAGTCGTTATCTAATAGGTTCAAATTTATCTGCTGACCAACGAGTAACTTTGTGGAACAGTGAATTCACCATTGAAAATATAAGTCTCATTGAGCAGTTTCTTTTTATGTATCTTGGGTAGGCCATACATTTATGATAGACGAAACCCCATAGGCTTAAATTCATTGTATATGCGGTTGTCAATCATTTTCTTTTTTAACAGCTCTCTGAGGGCTTTTGTGACTCTTCTGTCATATCTGTATTTTGGTTGTCAATCTTGAACCTCAACTTTTCATTAGGAAGGGCTCCAATTTTTTGGGTATAGTCAGCGTTGTTCATCACCACCGCACCTGAACCTTTATCAAGTCGTTGTATGACGATATCTTCATTGCTTAGCAAACGTTTAATTGCTTTTTGGTGCTCTCTCGTCATGATTCTAGACTGATGAATTGATGAACAGAGGTATTGTTTCGAGATGTCAGCTAGTCTTTCTTGTCTTCACTGACAGAAATTAGGTCAGTTAACATGTTGAATAAATCCTCAAATTGCGCTTCTGGTCTATTTCATCCACAAATTTTCTTGGAATATGTAACTTGAATCCGAGTGAAAGCGCCTCAATTTCAGTTCGATTTAATTTTACACTTGAGTGATTGATAGCATTTTTCTGGGTTTTCAGGAAGCCTTCACATAAGTGTTCTTTTACCTATGTATTGGGGAGGGTCGTATACAGCTGGAAGTAACCTCAGCTAAGTTGTCGTCCTGATGTCTACCTCACCGTGACACTTATAATATGCTTGTCGACAACAAAAGTATGTTAAATTCTACGCTGACTTTTATTTATTAAAGATTATAGGTTGTATGCAGTTGATAAGAACCAAAGAAATAAAGTGGAACCATGTTATTCTTCACCAGTATTTGTTATTTCTTTGCTCAGATTCCAATATTTAATCGCTTTGAGTCACATCGTTTTGGTTAATGAGACGTTCGTAAACGATGAGACTACCTCTAATGAGAGTATGATTTGATTAGAAATGTTGATGTTTTCAATGGAATTGGCAAACTCAAAAGGATGTTGAAGTGAGTAGCAGGAAACTGGTCTTCCGACTCGTTCCAGTAGGTCTACTAACCATCGGACAATGGCGATGATAAGGGGAATTCGTCTTGTCGAGAATAGGTCGAAGAGGTGTGCGTTTCTTGTCTACTATTGGCAATCCATACAGTCGGGGTATATATGATCCAGGTGGTCTCAGGGATTCAGACATTTTACCGTCAATGAACGATTCAGTTTGTGGAAGATGTCCGTTAGTTTCTGTTCGGTCTGCTCTGTGATATTCTTTTCATTGATCGGTTTTGTAAATTTGGATTCATCATATAGGATGATTAGCATTTTGCTGATATACTCCTCGCGATTAATGAGTGCGTCACCCCGACCTTTATAATGGTATATCTGCATGATATCCTCATCGTTCAGTAACTTCCTAAGCTCTTTGTAATGTTGTTTCGTCAGTATAAACTGATCGCTTGCTTTGGTATTTATAAACTTGCAACAGTTTTTAAAGACTACCGATTTCGATTGTTGTAGGCGCTCTCCAGATTTCGGTATTGATTGATATATTTGATTTATTAGGTTTTCAAACTGGACCTGAGATCTGAGATTCCGGATATTTGATGGCTTTTTGCAGAATTTTGGGTTTGGAGATAGCGCCATCAATCTTACCCTTGACGGTCCGTTGTTTAAAAAATTCAATACTTATTTTTCTGTATTACTTTGAGGTTGATGTTCACCACTATTGATCAATACTAATTACAATTACATTTCATTGGTTTTTTGTGCACACAATATGTGTAATTAATTAGCCGTGTTCGCGGAACCTGTACCTCTGACTATGTTTCAGCATAAAACTTCGCACAAAAGTCCAGCAATTCAAGTCTTTGCACTCTGTGTAGCACACGAAAGTAAAAAGAATAGAGAAAACAATTCAAAGGAACTATAATGGGCAGAAATATATGAAGGAAGAATTATTACATGGAGAAGCATGAGAACTTAATAGATCCAGGATTTTTTTTATCGGTTGGATGCATCTGCATAATTGAGAACGGTTTTGTTCCGTATTATGAAGTTTAATAATAATAATAATAACAGCTTTATTCCAAACAGTATTTGTGGTACAGGTATGGAATTTTCAGCGTGCATTACAGCTGTTGATTCTTAGTGTTTTGAGGACCACCTACTAGTAGGCTCAAAACAACTGTCGCATACTTGATAGAGTGACGCCAGCTTTTGATTCAACCACCCTCAATTCTTGCCCAAGCTAATTCTATGTCAGGCTACACTGCTTGATGAGGAATATAGTGAGTCGGTAAGATAAATACGTTTCATAGTCTTGTCGATTGATGTATTTCCACGACGTCATTGATTAACTTAACTTCCTTACGTCATTAAATAATTCATTTTAGAAGGATTCCAGGATAGTTGTTGAAGTAGTCTTCGGTTTATCATTGAGTGATCATATATTGGACTTTCTTTTATATTATTTAGCGAATTCATTTGTTGTTTATGTTCTATTTCTTTGTTATAGGAGGTGATTCATATACCATCCTTAGGAACTGGTCATCACAGTATTGGCTTGTTTATTTTATCTCTGTTAGCGTCAATAGTTGATTGTACATCATCTGTTACATTTATTACATATCTAAATGGAATGCCTCAATTATATGTGGGTGCGTTACACTTTGGTGAGGCATTCAGTGATTTGGTCCCAAGTGTACTAGCACTTATTCAAGGCGTTGGCCCAGAACCAGAATGCATTAATACAACAGGTGCGATTTGTTATTTATATATCTTTTTAACTAACTAAGGTTTATTTCACGTGGATCCAAGTTTTTATATAAATTTGATTTTTCACAATTTGTTTAAAATATCTGCATAATTTTTGATTGATAACGCTTAGAAAACAAAAGGATTAGATCCTCATCTCTGACTCTACTCTAAAGGTATAGCATTTTTATTACAATACACAACAACTAACCAATCAAGTGGTGATAATTTCGTTAACAACAATCAGTTAGTATCAATATGTTACTAGGGTGATAACGAAAGAAATCACTACACACAATTAAAGGGTGTGGATTACATACCTCATAATTTTGGAAAAAAGGAAGATTAATTAAGGAATAAGCGAGTATTGAAGTTGACTACATAACAGACGATTAAAGAAAAATAAGACGATTTAGACAATATATTTGCATATTTTTTATATTTTGTTCTTTTCCATTCCGTGTGGAAAATAAGGCTTCAAGCTAGAACTTCAAAATTTCGATAGCAGTGATGTTAATTTTTACCGGGCGAGGTTGCTAGACTCACGCCTAACCTTCCCTCTTTACCTGTTGTACTACCGGCTCAGCGAGTTAAAGAAGTGCATCGGCCGGAAATCGAACCGCGTGTGGCGTGGTAGGCGAGCGTCCTACCACTGAACCAGCGATGCACGATTTGGACAATGATAACTTGTAGAGATGAAGTAGTCATAAGAATAAAGTAATTTGGACAATTACGATTTTTAAAATGTTTAAGGGAAAGGCAAAGTAGTCTGGTCTATAGATTCATGTATCGGTAGCTGAAGTATGGAAAGTGGCCGCACGAATTTCTTCTGAACACACAACCGTGGCTCCTTCAGATGGCTTCAGCTGCATGTAAAAGACGAATTAGTAAAGCAAAATAAAGATTATTAGGAATGTGGTAAATGACTTTAAATGTTGCATTAACACCAACTCTATGCTCGCTGTCTACAAGGTGTGCTAAAACAGATTTACGAGTAGATCTTGTTTGTTGATATTAGGTGGTTGTAGGCAATCGGCAGGAAGCCTTGGACCTAGGTTTCGTGCTAGTTGGCACTCATCAGCAAGGCGTATCTGAAACCTTGAAGGAACTCATGTCCCTTCTGAGATTCGAACCCGCGTCACCCAATGCTGCAGTCAGAGATGTTACCACTGAGCTATTCGGACTCGCGATTGGCCTCCTGTAGGACTGTAGTGGGTATTTTGATTGGACACTAGTAACTAGTATTGTGGTGAGAGCAGGCTGCTAGCCGATTGGTTGACATTAATCTACGTCAATGTCTAGGTTACTAATATTGGCCGTGAGAAAATATGAACAAGGCTGTTTCAACAACCAATCACAGCAAACTTAAACGTGGGCAAATATGATTCGCAGATAGATGGCTCCACTTTCCGAGAAACTCGAAAACATCCAATCAGAAGACTGCGTTTATCTACTTGACTAGGCTATAATAATGTATGTGAAATTTATATAAATACGTGTTGATTTCCGTAATAAAACGATCTGTTGCCAGCTCTTGTCTTCTGTTGTTACAATATGACGTTTCTAGTCCTTTCTTTGGTGCAGACTGAATTTTATCAGTCAGGTTTGCAATGTTGATACGCCTTGCTGATGAGTGCCAACTAGCACGAAACCTAGGCTTCCTGCCGATTGCCTCCAACCATCTAATATCATCAAATCAATGTGCACCGTGATGTCCAGCTACCTAGAATGGTGGCCACATTGCAAACCTGACTGATAAAATCCAGTCTGCACCAAAGAAAGGACTAGAAACGTCACACTAGTTACTAGTGTCCAATCAAGATCTTGTTTGTCCCTTGCCTAACCATGCCGGATGCTGTTCAGAAGTACGATGATAAACCTGCCTAATTGTACACCCAATGTCGCTGGCTCTGCAGCTGCAGTCAAATTTGTAGACACATATAGAGGAGGCAAACTTAGGTAGTTTGTTCATATTTCACGAATGTAAAATAAGGGTGTTTGTTTCTTCACTACCAACTGTCATCACAACTAATGAAGGTACCCTCAATATATCGCCTATTACATATGCGAATTCGAGATTGTTTCTTTCAGTGAAGCATTCTGTTAGCTCGCCATGAACACATCCACTAGGAGAGGTCTTAATGGAGACCCCGTGGCAACTCCCATCCCTTTGATTATAAATGACGTCGTTAAATCCAAACTGCATATCAATCGTGCTTCTCAATAAAAAGCTGCTTCAGATAGTTGGCACTCCAATGTTTATGCATTTTAGATTGATGTAATCACATAGATAACAAGTAGTTTCTACTAAAAGTACATTTGTAAATAAACAGCAAACATCCAGTGAAATCATATGCTTAACGGTCAAATTAATCCAATCAATGCAACTAATTAAGTCAAAAGTGTCCGGAAGACTATGTTTACATAGATTTGATCTTACTGGTTCGAAGAATTCAGTGAGCCGTTTAGCTGTAGAATGATAACGGGAGTTCAGCATTTCCAATATAGGTCGCAGAGGGACAGCATCTTTATGCTGCTTATGGTGATCATATAAACAAGGGATGGTGGGATCAGACGGCTTGAATACTATTCATTTTTCCAAAATTATGCGATATACAATCCAATTGTATGTATTTGAACAACCACTTAACCAGTTCCTTTTTATACTGTAGTGGGCAGAAAATATAAATTAGATACTGTCGCGTCTATGTGGACTTTCTGTAGACAGGTCGTTTTACTGACCGCCCATCTTGTCGGCGGGTTAGGAGTACCTCTAAAAATGGCAAGCAATCATTATTCTCTTTAACGTATGAAAGCGATATGCTGTTTTATACTGTACTGATCTGGGTGAGGATTTCTAACCATATAAAAAGGTGTTGGTTAAGTGTTCAAACGCATCACCGTATATGTACAGCTGACGCAACTGAAGAAGCACAACACCTCACTAAATATTGTTAGATAACAATTACCCGCTGATAACCATTAAGCGGTACGGAAGTGTGAACCAAAGAGCTGTGCCTATCCGATCAGCTCCCGAAAAGGACGTTTATGTATCCTTGCCGTTCACGGGCGATCAACAAAGACTGAAGGTGGCAGTTGATAGAACTTACTATGCAGCTAAACTTATCTTCATAGAGAAAACGAGATCTATGCTATCCTGTAAACCCTCACAGCATCTGAACGATAGTGTCAAATCCCATTGTGTTTATCAATTTACATATATGCGTGGACACACGAACTTAGGAACCAGCGATCTCTACAGGTTAGGACTACAGAACATATCCCAAAGTGGCTGCAGCAACAAATAAGATCGCCGGATACAACTGATGTCCAACATCATCTATAGCGAAGCACATCATAAAAACGGATCATAAGATTGATTTCAGCGATGCCTTTAAGCCCATATATAAAAAACCGTTCTCAATGGCTCAGATGCATCCACTCCTTGTGACTTATGATTTCCAATGAAGCTGTTTTGTTCTTCGTTATTAATATTCCTTTGTCTCACATCTCTGTTTACTGTCTCTATTATGCATTTCTTCTACTTTCTTCTCTTGCTTTGTGTGCTACATGGAGTGTGGCGACTCGAACTGTCGCACATCAGTGCAAAGTTCTATATCGAAAACAGACAGGCAGACATATAAAAACAAAGCTGGGTCACATACTTAAATTCGTTGAATCCTTTACCATAAAAAAGCCTAAACCTATCTTATGTGTCCAAAATTTATTTTTTATTACTTTAAACCTGCCTTGGTAGTCCAACTTAGAACCAAGGTTCAATTTACTTCCATAATATTTTCAACCCTGTCTCTGTTTTTTCTTTCTTTCTCACCCACGCTTTTGTGTCATCTCTCTACCCATTATTTGTGACCTTGACTTGTACACAACCTGGCCTGTATTGTAATAATTCATGCTTTCTGTATACCTGAGTATGACAAGTACGTGTGTGATAAGAATATCCGAAAAGTGTTGCGCAAACATATAACACGTTTCAGGTAAACCAAGTCTGACGAGTTCTACCGAAATTTGATGAATTCATTAAATCCTGCTTTATTAATAACCTTTGTTGCTTGTTTTAAATTAGTATCAGGAAATAGATGTTTTCAGTTCTTATTGTGTTGTCGAAATTCATAAGAGGAACCAATTGCTTTAAATCCGATTGTTGTACACATTTCTACCCTTAATTGTGTGTATTAATTTTCTTCGTTAACTATCGACCCCTTGACATGCTGATACTGACTGATTATTGTTAACAAAGATATCGCAACTCGATAGGTAAATTGTTGTGTATCGTAATAAAAGTGCTATATACATTAGAGTAGAGCCAGAGATGAGGATCTAATTGAAAAGTAAGTATTTCTTCGCCCAATCCTTTTGCTTTCTAAATATCTAAATGTTTTTCTCTATAATAACTCTTAGTTTTGTTATCGGTGTATTGCTACCTTTTCATCATCACTGTTTCGTATGGAACATAGGTATTGGCGGTTTAAAATTTCACTACCCGTAGTGTCAGTTTTACGAGGTCGAGTTCTCAGCCCAACCTTCACTCTTTCTCTGCATTACTACTGGTTAGTAAACTGCATAGGGTTTTGCAGTGCATCAGACGAGGATTAAACCTCGTCCTCCCGTGTGACTGAAAAACGTTTTACCGATGAGCTACTGACGCACCGAAGTCATCGGTGTATGTGGAATATCATTTATGAAACGTATATCTTCCAGAATCGAGTCATCTGTTTAAGAAAGCATAAAGTAACCAGCAGAACAGCTGGAGAAACGTCTGTCCCATATATTTCTGAAAATTATATTAAAAAGTTAACCCTTTCAGGCTTCAAGTAACTCCAAAATCAGTGGTTTCTTAAACCTACTAATGTTAACAAAGTATTTATTTCTATTATTTTGAATTGCTTTGCCTAACTTTAGTACCTGCTCATAGTGTATCTGCACGCGTGATCATTTTGGGTTAAGATAACCTTTTACATAATCAACAATTCAGTTCGAAGATATATATATATATATATATATATATATATATATATATATATAAGACTGCATTTTGTCAGCGTCTTCACCTAGCGCGGAGGACTATATCATCTGCATATTCTAAGTCAACGAGATTATTCCCTGGTAACAAGTTCATTCTTGAGTCTCTGAAGTGAGTTAGGGTTAAATCCATTAGTACATTTATGATGAAATTGAATAGAAATGGGGCATCCCTGACGAACACCACTAGTTATCACCATTTCAAGTGTCATCTCTCCATAGGCTCCACTCAGCTAACCCGGCTAGTAGACTGCCTTGATCAGTACAATGTATTTTCTCAGCATTTCCTTTATAGACAAACATCACCATAGTTCCTCACGTTCGACGGAGTCAAATTCTGCTTTCAGGTGAAGAAATATGATGGCTGTTGGACGCCGGTAAGTATACCTATGTTCCAGAATCTGTAAAAGGATGAAGATATGATCAATACACCGTTTTTCTGGCCTAAAGCCTGCCTTGCTCTCTCGTGTTTGTTCCTCCGAGCACCACTTAGTCTACGCAATTTTATTAAGCCTAGGACTTTAGATACTATATTAGTCAACCTAACCCCCTGTGATTATCACAGGGAGAATTGTCTCCCTTCTTGTATATCGCGATAATTGGTGACTTAAACCAACACGATGGGACTTTCTTGGATTCCCGGACGATGTTTAACACCTTATTTAACGCAGACAGTGAACTGTCTCCGCCATCCTTAAACACCTCTGAAGTCATTCGATCAGGTCCCAAAACTTTGCATCGTTTCAGATTAGTGACAGCCTTAGTGACCTCAGTTAGGGACGGTGGACCTGTGTTTTTATGAAGTGTTGGATGTTCAGCAGTTTGAGCGTGGCTATAGGCCAATTAAATTGCTCCTTAAAGTCTTCTTTCCAACTTTCCAGTCGTCTATCCTGAGGGCTAATTATGGTGTCATTTTTCTCAGAGATTGGTACCCCTATTACTTTCCTTTCACCACCTGTTTGTCTGTCTAAATAGTTGTCTGGCGTTACCTATCACCGATGCCTTTTCCATCTCTTTCGCTTATGTCACTCACCAATGGTCATGGTCGTTTCGGAGGCTTCTTGTTGGCTTGCATTTGAGCAGCTTTCGCTCTTCATTATAATCGGAGCTCGCCGGAATCAGTCTTCTTGCGACAATCAGTTCGGATAAGGTAGTTAGAAATCCAATGGCTTTTACTAACTTTTGATTTTAGCTTATTAACAGCTTTTACAGCTGTGTCTACAGCTAACTGTATGTTGTACAAGGCTACCTTAGGGGAAGTCCTGCTGTCGAACTGAGATACTCGTTTCGCTATTTCTTCCATAAAAAGGGACTCAGAGTCTCGATATAGTTAGGGACGTGACTGCTTCGCTGACAACAATTTTTGTCCGTTTAATGGTAAGCGTAAACGTGCGCGAACCAGGGCGTGATCGCAGTCTACGCACGTATTCCAGAAAGATCAGCAGTCTTCTACTGACCCTCGCCAACGATATCCTATGGCTATGTAGTCTATCTGAGTCCAGCGTTGATTTGTTGATGGAGGTCGCCAGGTTGCGCAATGTCTCTCTTCCGGCCTGAAGTTAGTGCTGACTTGGAACAGATGATCACTGTTATCGGTTCGTCGTCGGCAAATTCCATACGTACCACTGCGAGTCCTCGTGAACTAGCTGAGGGGTCTCCTGACACCCTCAAAGTCAATTTTGCAGATTCACCTTGTTGACCCGATGAAGTTAAGTGAAAAGCCACACTCGGGTCTTGTATGGCTGGAGGTGCCAAGGTTCTGGCTATTGATGTCCGCTGGCTTATTTGACAGGGAGTCCCGACATGAAATGCTCCAATATGAGGTTGGCGGCGCGTCTTTCAGGGGCTATGGGGGTGTTTTTCTGACTGTCATCGTTATTTGTGGTCACACAATGAAATGAAGATGACTCACTACCCTGAAGAATAGTACTGGGTGCAGTAGGGGAGGAAGAGGATGAAGGTGATGCGGGTAAAGGAGAATGATGCTCAGAAGGTCTTCGTGTGCTTTTGGAAGTGTGGGGGCGGTTGTTACTTCCAGCTGCCCAGATTGTTGAAGTTGATTTTTTCATGAGGTGCCTGAAACAGAAAGAGAATTAGTGTTGTGTGACCACAGTGCCTAGGGGACAGCTGCTTGAGGCCGGTCACACACGGCCTGTTTAAAGTGGCTTTTTGGTTTGGTTCCGTTCTAGTAACTTATCGCTAGCTATGGGCCGCCGTAGGGTTAGTCGGGATGTACAGTTTTTGGGGTCGACCTATTCTAACCCCCTCCTCCAGAGTGGAGGGTCAGCATGGCTGGTATATTGGCCATCTGAGGGTAACACCTTACTGGTGTTACATCCCTGTTTCCTAGCAGTATGACTTTGCCCACAAATCTCCAGCATAGTGTAAAAAAATTCTTACACTATGCTGGTAACTGCTTTTGGTCTAATCGGTATCCTAACAATCTTCCTGTCATAGTAGGACCTGCAGGAACAATAGTCCCATCCCGTGTAGCTTGTTGGGTCATTGCCGTATGCAAACCCGACCACCACGTCTAGGTAGCAGCTATTGGTCGGGGTAATCCAGTAATACAGTTTCTTTTCATTTTATTCCAAAGTAGATAAACTTCGATCTTTGATTGAAACATGAGTGATAGTTATTGTCACTTTATTCACGTAACCTAATTAACTGTTAATGGTAAGGATTATCTATATTCATTTGTAAAATATCACTTTTAAATTTCATAGTAAATAATTTGACTTTATTCATGCATTTATTTCTCTAATACCTTTTTTTCTTTCAGTTAATGGAACATTTCATACAGTGCCATTCTTCCCGCCACCACGTTTTTCAATTAGTACATTTATTTATCTTTTATGTACAGTATTGGTTTTGTCATTAATTGCCTTCCTTTTATTGGACTGTTCACCGTTTGGTTTGGGGAAAGCTGTTCATCAGCATTATAAAAAAAATCATGTCAAAGTAACTTCCAGTGATGAGGACAGCTCACATTTGGATAAGAATAAAAGAATCACTGATTCGATTTGTGAGAACACTGAAAGCGGTAAGTTATTCAGTTTAATCAATAGTCAGTCATATGTGTAAAGCTAACGTAACTTTTTAATCAAGAAATGGAGCCATTGTTAAATTGCATATGCAAATCTAGTAGTTTGAGCTGTAAAACGAATTAATGAGTGGAAATTTACTGTAAACGTATCAAAGCATTTGAAAATGAATAAATAAAGTTTGTGAAACGTGTTTTAATTCAAGTTCTATGACTAACTTACTTCATTTCGAGAACCGTTGAAAACCAGGAAACATCGGGATCCGGATTTAGTCCTAGTTCAATATGCAAGCATGATCCCTTCATTGTCAAACCCTGCTGGTTACGCGGTGAGTCCGATTATCACTAAGCCACTATGACATAATCTGATAGCGCATGAAGTCATGCTTTTTTCATTGGATTCCTTTCTTTTGGCTGAAAAATTCGCGTGCTGATCTCGAAACATGTAGGTCCTGGCTACATACTGATACTGAATTTTTTTCTTCTGACGATAATCGATTTTTCTGAATACTGACAGGTATTATACTTCTCGTACTTACAAGTTGTCTATCGGTATCCGTGACGAAAAAGAAAGAGCAACATTTTTGTTTCTGACAATGATACGTTGAAAGTGGTTTGGACTCTCGCCGACCATGCACATGGTCCGGAGATCGACACCCCGCCGACGCACACCTGATATCTATGGTTGGCCTGCGAAATTCGGGCTACCGATATCCATGCTAAAAATTCCATACTTGTACCAAAAATGCGGTGTGGAATCAAGTTGTAATCAAAAATAAAAAAAATAAATAAAAGTACATCTAACATTTGCGTTTTGTTGTGTAGTTCTCATTTAGTATCAGGTGGTTATATATATATATATATATATATATATACCATTAATTAGTATTTTTTTTCTCCATTTCTCTTAATCTTTATGCGGTTAAACTTGAGTGACGAATCTTCTTAGCCACATTAGTCCATTAAATCTCAAAATTTCTTTAATCTTTTCGGTCTAGCACTGTATCTTTGACCTCTGTTCACTATTAATCAGTAGATTTAGAAATGCACTTATCAAAGAGATCAAGTCTTTTCTGGATAGAACCTATACTTTGTTTTTACCGTAAATCTGGCGTTAATAAGCATGCGAACAAAAGTCGGTCCTAGTAAAAACAGTAGTAGTAATACGGTCTCCGTAATGTTATTTTTTAAACGAACTATATATTGTGCTTTCTGAAAGTAGACAGAAAGGATTTCGCCACAAATTCAGTTTCAGCAAGAGAACAATTTCACCACAAAAAAAACCACACACATGGATCCCGGAAGTTAGTGTGGTAAATTTTGACATAAAAATCCTAATCATTCTGGCCTAGCGAGCAATCGTCGTCAAATTCTGTACTCGCTTCACCAGACTCTGACTAGTGTCTATGAGCTGCTGCTCCACTGCCAAATATGTTTTTTCAAAATTTGCTTGTAAAACAGTAAAAACATAACATTATAGTAAACACAGTTGTTCTGTTCTTGTTAGCGTAGGTACATCTCAGTGATTAAGTGTTATAATCTATCACTCCCTAGATATCAATATGTATAAACACCTGTGAGGATGAATCCGATTTCTCAAACTTTAGGATCTTGGATAGTGAACATACAAACAATATCAGACGATATTATTTTTTAAAATTTTATTCCTTTACGCTCCCAGTGGAACATAGGATTTCAAGCTAGAGCTTTAAAGTTTCGGTAGCAGTTGTGTTTTATTTTTACGGAATGCCTGATCTTTCCACCTTACTGGTCTTATAACTGGCTTAGCGAGGTATAAAAGTGCGTTGGCCGGGGATCGAACCCCTAACCACCTACGTGTTTGGCGAGCATTCTACCGCTGTGCCACGGATGCATGTCGTAGGTTATGTGCAAGTCAAACACTCCTCAGCTGTATAGATCCAGCTTATTAACGATGGAATAAAGCCAATCAGTCAAAAGAATTATCAGATAAAGTGTACATGGGAATAATGTCCTTTTTAAGTCAAAATCCAATTGATGCGCAGCATTTGATTTGTTTCATTTCTCTTCACTTGCGGTTCCTCAGCGTGGCGAGAGTAGTTGTTGTACTTCTCTAGACACTTGATTTCTGTGTATGTTACTTTGTGATCACTCAGACTTGAAAACTGTGGTTTTTCGCATTTCAAACCTCATTACTGTAAGATTGGTTGAATATAATTCTATATTAGATGAGTTTATAACACTGTGATATAGTAATAATAACTTAATGGTGTTTCGGAAACCATTTATTGTTCATTATCGTATGAGTGTATTCAGACAACTTCATAAGTTGCTGTATGTAGTTTTATTTCCTCCGGTTTTTTAAAAGAATGCGTCATTTCTACTACGCGTGTTGGGGTTCGATCAACAAAGAATCAGTGGACAGTCTCTAACAGTATTTAACTATATTTTGGTGTTTAATGATTTCCGTCACATTTTATTGTGTAATTGCATGCAGGTGTACGCGTTGCAATGACTGGGTCATTTAACCTGGTGGGATTTATCATTCTAAATCTATCCCAATTCTTATGTTCACTGTGCAGCGGTTCTAATCGTCCTCCACGTTTGTGAAATATGGTCATCGACAATGAAAGACATGACAAACTACCGAATCATATTCGACCATAAGTGTCTGTGTTCATTCCTTCCTCACAACGTCAATCAATGACGTTATGGGGCAAAATCGATTGAGATGACTAGGATATTATTCGCACAGGTTTTGAAAATCATCTCTTTTCCTTACTTAGTTATTATTTCTTCCGTACAGTTTTTCATACAGACATTCTCTTTTATAAATTTGAGCAAAGAAAGAACGTGTAGCTTTACAAATGCATTGTTTTATTAGTAAGAATTACAGTTGTAAAAAAGGATGTAGAATCGATTGAGAACGTCTGTTTGCCATAGCCCACATGATACAGATAGTCATCTCCACAAATTTATTCCGTTTGAGTATCCGTATGGCTTTAATATCTGTTTCAATTTTCATGGTGAACTTCTTTGTAAACTGTCCGCCACTCGAAAACACATTGGGGACCTGGAATTATTGGATATTCGATTGTAGTTTGGTAGTAATTGGTAATTGTAATTTGGTAGTCAAAACGAGTGTGCAATGATAACCGTTTATACTATCAAACTTTAAAATGCCAGTCGTCTTGCGGACAGTTTAATATTCCACTTCACTTCGTCTCCACTGTCTTTATTGTTATTATTGTCACACTTTTAATGTTTAATAACATTTAGTCTGAGACTAATACTACTAATTCACTTTCTTAGTAATGTTTTAAAAAACTGTGTAATTGATGATCCATTCAGTATTCATTTACTGGGTCAAATTTCTGTGGTTCTGTTTTCATGTCTCAAACTTGAGAGGCAAATGTGTCTACCGCTTCTTGGTCTTCAGTTTTGTCTAGTTGATATGGAATCATGACACGGTCAACTGTGAAGAAAACCAACTTCTCTACAGTTGTGATATATTTACATTTTGAAATTCAGTTATTTTTAATTGATTACCTTCTCAGTTTCTCTATTTTAATGATCAAATTTAAACATCATATCAAGTTCTTTTTCAAACGACTTTTAGCAGGTATACATTAAACTTAGAAAGGTTGGGGTGTTTTAGCAGTTGTTTACAACATTGCCATATATATATATATATATATATATATATATATATATATAATTTTTCAAATTTATTGTAGATGGTGTCGTAATATCAAGTTGCGGTGAAGGATCTACGCAGTTGTACAATGGTGTTGATGTCACAAACAATTCTGGACCAAGTACCTTTTTGTCATGCTTACTTATTGGTTATATCAGTGCATTAAGTTTCGGATTTTTACCAGCTATACAATCGTATTCTTGCGCAGCGTATAGTGCGCTTACATATCATTTAGCAGTTACTTTGTCTGGTTCATTTTCTGCTATATCCACAGTATTGACCACATTTCTAGTGAATCATTATTCTAAACGTGCAAATTTGTCTACACTTTTAAAGTATCAGTCAAACTCGGAGGCTGCGTATGACGGAGATTGTACAAAACACGAAGAGAATGATGTAAATTTCCATAATGAGATTGTGGTAATCTCGAGTGAATCATATATGCGTTCACTTCACAGGAAATGGATTGGTGTTGCTTTTGTTTCTTCATTGCCTGCAGCCTATGTGATTTATTTGGCTAGCTCTAGTCCTAGTCCACCTTTCTTAGGCGGTTTTGGCTCAGCAAGCGCGGTAAGTTTAATTTTCGATGTGCGAATAATTCTTCAAATAAATTTTGTTAGTTTAAACATATTTTGACTACAAGCGTTACAAGCTTCCTGTAAGGAGTTGTGCACTGAATATGATTTGGATTATGGTAGGGAAATATACTCTCAGCATGTTCAGGAAACCAAACAATTTCATTTCAAAGGTTTTTCGGTTTAAGCTAAGACTTCTTCACTAGAATTAATTGGAAAATGAGATATATTGGCATTCAGTTGGTGTAATTACGCCATATATGTGCATGAATTCCGGCTTCATGCATGATTCCTCATAGGTCAGTGACATCAGGCCATATATGGGTCATACATGGCTGTGTGGTATTATCGGGTCACCTAAGCCGAATTAAATGCAGTTAATGTCTGACTTGAGACAGAGCTATGAAGGCGAAATACTTGCTCCACCAAATTATTGTTCACGGCACTGTCGTATCGCTTGACTCTGTGATTATCTCGCAAACGTGACCAAAAGATTCAGGTCGTTACTAAAGTCTAAGATAGTTTTCTGGTTACTGTTTTGAGAATATTTTTCATAAAGTGGAATTACCTTATTATCATTACTTATTCTTCGTTCGTTGCGTTCCAAATGAAGTAAAGGGATTTAGTAGGACATCTCATGGGCAAGGCTTGAGATGTCTCTTAGTTGTCTCAGAGAATTTCCCGTCCGTCTTCACTTTATTTTGCGTATTTGTTGGTTTTCGGTTGGTTCGTTGCCTGTTCCCTGTTGTTCATCTTTTGTGTCCGGTTATCTGATCTTTGGTATCGAGTTAGCAAAGAAATCTGTTGTTGAAACTCTTCAGTTGCCTGTTGAGAATGCTTCCTGTGACGAGTATGCCAATTGTCTGAACCATATAGAAGTACTGGCTCCACATTAGTTCTGAAAACTCGGATCTTATTCGTCACTTCTTTTTACAGTGTACTATAGATCGAACTCAGCTTCTAATTTTTTTATTCATCTATGCAGTCCATTATCTTCTGCTTCTCCATCCTTCTATTCTCTTTTAATATTCAGGTGTCTGTAGCAGGTTATTTCTTTTCTTGCCTCTCATTCCTTCCAAGGACCCTGATTGAATGAATCCACAGGTGTTTAAGGATGGCGGAGACAGTTCACTGTCTGCGTTAACTAAGGTATTAAACATCGTCCGGGAATCCAAGAAAGTCCCATCGGGTTGGTTTAAGTCACCAATTATCGCGATATACAAGATGGGAGACAATTCTCCCAGTGATAATCACAGGGGGTCAGCTTGACTATTATGGTATCTAAAATTCTAGGCTCAATAATAATGTGTAGACTGAGCGGTTCACGGGAGAAACGAACACGAGAGAACCAGGCAGGTTGGAGAAGAGCCACTGCTGGTCAAACTAAAAGGTGACATCAGTCAATGAAATCCATAACAGTTAGTTTAAGCCACGTAGGAAGTTGTAGACTTGCTGGTTGGGGTCATCGGGACGGTAAAACCCAATAGCTGGAGACAATCGGTGATATGGCTCAAAGTCGTTGTCAATGGCTGGCGCAGACGCATCCACTCCTTGTGACTTAATATACCCAGTAAAACTATATTCTTCTTCGATATTACTATTCTTTTTGCCTCATATCTCTGTTTGCTGTCTCTATTTTGCACTTCTACTTTCTCTTTTTGCTTGATGTGCTACATGGAGTGTGGTGATTCTAACTGCTGCACATCAGTGCAAGGTTGTCTGTTGAAACCAGTCAGTCAGTCATCATCGCTCACAGTGAGTTCCAGTGTACTTACACGCAGTTTTACCCGGTGATTTTGTTTGATACTTCCTAGTTTTTTTACTGATGACTGCTGTGAGCTGTAGCTTCTAGCTTCATCTTTCAGTTTTTGGGTGCTAAACTTGTATTGTTTTTCTTTAAATGCTTTCAACTTGATATTAAGGGCCCTTTGTACTAGATATTGCTTTTAGCCTGCACATGATCGGATGGATTTTGTGTATGGTAGGCTGAATCTCCACTTTCTTGTTATTGAAATGGAGTATATGTGACTTTTTGTGTATCCATCTTAGTGAAGCTTAAATGGCCCTTGCAGAAGTTTTTGTGGTTTTACCCTTTGTATCCAGTCACTGAATCAGTGAAGGTGCAGAGATTCGTGAAGAGTTCTGTGTTCACATTTTCACTAAGTGAGAGCCTTTCGTCCCATAGTGAGTTCTCTTCCTATGTTGTCTTATCTCAGTTTGGTATTCGTAACATCCATTACAATTCCGATGTCGTCATCTAGGGTTTTGTCTATTATTGTTTGTGTCTCGATGTCCTCCTTTCTTATTTGGTCTGTGTTATTTGTAATTGCGTAGTATTGTATAGGTCTAACGTCTCTTGCTTTTGAGTTGTATCTTGCTGTGAGAATCCTGGAGGAGATTAATTCTGACTGCAAGAGCTTTTTAGGTGATATCATGATAACCACTCTCACAGTGTATTCTTGTTTGTGTTCTCTGTGACCGGAGTATACTGTTGACTCCGCGCTTAACAATTTTGGACAGTGTACTTGCATTCCTTCTGACGTCACAGGTTCCTGATACTGTGTCGGTGGCACAGTGGTTAGGACTCTCGCCGACCATGCAAATGGTCCGAGGTTTGATCCCCTGCCAACGCACACCTGATATCTATGGTCAGTCTGCAAAATTTGGGCTACCGATATCCATGCTCAAGATTCCATCCTTGTACGAAAATACAGTGTGGAATCAAGCAGTAAATAAAAAAAAATACTTCTATACCACATATTCGCATTTCTTAATAAAAACCTGGGAAGCCTTGCCAGCCAGCCTCAAAAGTGGTACGGATATTCCATGCTCCTGTGCTCATTTTTGCTTTCATTGAAAGAAGAAACATCGTTTCGTTAGCTTCTCCAGGGCTTTCACCAACAGGCGTCTTACAGCCGCTGATTGGAGTGTTTTCCAGATATCAGTGGAGAATAAGTTTATTTTTATAATACTTTCAAATTTTAGTAGCTACTGGATTGTTTGCTACCGGATAGAATTACTGGCCCCACTCTCAACCTCCCTTCCTGCGGGGTTTAGCACCGACCAGTAATCTAAGTGAGGTTAGAATTACATTAACACATAACCTAAACACTTAAAATAAAGGAACAGAAAACTAATGTCACTGTCGCTGGTAAATATGTGGTTGTAATTAGATAAAGAATAGTGAAAAGTTTCATATACAGAATACATTTGGGTCAGTGTTATTGATCTTGAATCCTATCATTTAGAGTATCTGATCACTTATTCTTACAATCCTGGGGCTCGTATTCGAGTATTCTACACTTACCGACGTGGTATAGACCTATTCTATATTTTGGTCTGACAATTGATTATTATTTTTCACTCTTTTCTAATGTTAACATGACCCCGGCAACATTGTTCATATAATCCTAAATAAAGCAAATATGTAATCTTATTGACAGGTACTGTTTATTTCAACCTAGAATATCTTTTGAAATCCACTAATTATTATCTGTGACGCATCTCTTGGTGCTCGTAATGTAGCGAGTTTGTGTTTTTTTAATAAGGAATTACTATGATCCTTTGAGATTTGAGGCAGGTTTAATGAATTCAAACTTGGAATATATGTGAGCGTGTTAATTCATAGAGAAAACACCTATATTCTCTTATTTCTTTGGATTGTTCAGGGTAATAATGATGGAGAGAATTTCTTAAAATAGAAATTTCAAAGTTTCAGTGTGAAACGTGTACTGATTTGTAAGTAATAGGAACAAGTAACATGGCAACTGAATAGACTGATTTTTTTTTCATGTAGTGCAGATGAACGAAATTCTTGCTGTATGTTTTGAATATGTCGTATATAATCGTTTACTTTCCATAAGCCGTAAACTTAGAAGTTGTACTCTTTAATTTTCTTTACTTGGCTCTTCATCTTATACCACTACATAAAATGATCTAGCTGTCATATACACCATTGAAAATGTTTTGAAATCTTATTATATAAATTAGAATTCTTGTTTTGCTAACTGCTTTCTCAGTATACTCTCAATTCAGACGTGTTTTATTTTTGTGGCACCTCTTTTAGATACTAGCATGGATAGCTGTTCGATGTCTATTCAGCAGTTTGCGCACATGGATATGGATGAGTCTTTCTAGTCATTCGAATAGACCAATGAAACTCAGGTTAGCAGGATTATCAACTCAATTCGGTGCAGCTTTTGGTGCAATATTAAGCTTTCTATTAGTCGTTTATTTTCAGTTATTTAAAAATAAAATACCTTGTTTATAGATTTTATTGTATGGATTAAAATTTACTTATACTGTTGTCTTTCATAAATTCACATTATCTTGGGTATAATGATTGAACTCGTTGGCTTTCCTTTTACTAATCGAACGTTGTGACTTTGGTTATTTCTTTGTTCTCCGTAATTTTAGTATTCTCGGTAGTAAAATGACATTGTATTTATTCTAATAAATTATTTCTGTAGTACTACTCTTCTTATTTTTTTATTTTGAAGCATGATAAATTCCAAAGCTTTTTGTGTAGCTTAGCACAACGCACGTGCTTAATGATGCAGAAGCACTGATTTATGTGATAAGCTACCTAGTAGTTATCTATTTGCCGTTCGTGTTTACTACTGAATTCACTCATCTAACATACTTATAGCAAGTGACCTGTCAAGGAATTCCAGACGTTAACTCATTGATAAGAGAAGATTCTGCTGTAATAATCCAATGGTGTTCCTACCTCGGCCTTTTGTCGATTTTCTCTAGAAAAGAACTAAAATAATAGCTAAGGTTATACAAGACTAATCTATTATCATCCCTTTCTCCCCATTATAAAGTTTCAGAATGCACATAATTATGAGGCTTCAAAAGCCATGACTCCAACCATGTCGACTTGTTTCAGTTTGCTGACTTTTGAGGCATGAACCTGATGCAATACACTGATTTATGTTTTACGTAAGTTCAACGTATTTTTTTACCGGAAAACTTATAATTTATTTGAAAGCTGGAGTATGCAGTTAGGATAAAACACCCAGACACAATTAAATCTTACATTGCATTCATTCCAATAACTTGTAGTGCACCTTCCAACGTCTTAAGTCTTTGTTTTGATGGCTGCGCGTATGGGGACTGGCGTTAACGCCATATCTCAGTCTTTCCTTGTGCTGCCAACACGCACATTTTCTGAATCTGTAATTTAGTCGTGTCAGCTGGATAAGTTCTAATATCCTTTCCCTGAATAATCTAAACTTTTTCTTTTATTCAAAAATACTTCTCATCTGAGCATATCTCTAGTTAACCGAGTCTTTCTGATTTACGTTTTGTTGTCAGTACTTACCACTTAGGTGGAGTATTGATATATTGGGTAATTCGATTAATTACGTTTAGTAAGTGCTGGTATAGAGTAGCTAACCAATAGCAATGGCTTACGAACCCTTCATTCTCTAATATCAATGAAACTGGATGTATTCAGTATTAATTACTACATTACCTTTGAGGTTAATTTTTAAGCATCTCAAATTACATAGTTATTATTATTATTTCCTTTAATTCCTAGAGGAACATAGGGCTTCAGCTGCGCGTCTCCATTGCCTTCTGTTTCCTGCTAACTTTTTCACTCCGCTCCAAGTCTGCCCACATGCTTACATCTCCTCCTCACATGACCTCCTCCAAGTCACCTTCGGACGACCAACTCGCCGCTTCCCTTTCGGCGCCGAATCGGCGTATCGGGTAAAAATTCACAAAAGTGTCTTGTGAAACCGAAGATATGCAGATCTTGATGTGTTATCTTTTGGATATCAGATCTGGCAGTCTGGAGGATACGCACGGCCTATCGGTGCGCCTGGATTAAAACTACCCATCCCAGAATAGCGGTACGGCTGTTCTCGTTAGCAATTATTGCTAGTTAATGTCAGTGGTTTCCAGCTGCTCATATATATATATATATATATATTGCTGGTATTCACCAACTACCAGGGAGTTTCTTTAAAATAGTATGACCGATTCATCTATTAGTTTTGAAAAAAATAGTTGTTTGGTATGTATTATATCAGGAATGGCATCAAGTTTTTAGTTGGCATTAGTAAATTACGTAGCTTCTCTCTGGTGGCACAGTGGTTAGGACTCTCGCCGACCATGCACATGGTCCGAGGTTCGAACCCCTGCCAACGCACACCTGATATCTATGGTCGGCCTGCAAAATTTGGTCTACCGATATCGTAGGCTGAAAATTCCATATTTGTACCAAAAATACAGTGAGGAATCAAGCTGTAATCAAAAATAAATAAAAAATTGAAATACACGAAATGGAAGATTTTCAAGCTTCAAACTCCTATGCACTATAAAGTTTCAAGTCCATGGAGAGATCGGAAGTAATTTAGTGAACAAGTTTTTGTTTAGTCAATGAGTCAGAATCAGGTGAAATTGTTTCTAAACCCTATTATAATAATTTACAATAATTCTAAATACATAGGCATGTCTTTGATCAAATAGCTGTGATCAGTAGATTCGGTGATATAGTACAAGTCCAGAACCACTTACAGATGAAACCCCATCTTTAACTGAATATAATCCATGAATCAAGTTCGAGTTCCCATCGAAACACTGTAATTCGTACACCTAGGTGTTTGACTATCCGAAACAGCTATCCAGTGCATCTGGGTTTTTAAGCTGCTGGCAGTTCACGAAGAAACCACGAAATTACACAAATCCAGTAACATCGTTGGCTTAGAAATAGGATATGTAAAAACCTTACTTCGGGGTAAAAGTGATAGGAGAATTATCAAAAAGGTTAAGTAGCAAATCATCTGCGAAGCCTACGAACAAAAGTTTCATCAAAACAAGATTTGAGCAAACAATTGTTTTCGATAACTTCTTCAGGCTCTACAGTTATAAATCCATGAATAATAGAGTACATGTAGCCAATAAAGGCAAATGAAAATAATTTCAGAAACTGTATTGGGGTGTATGTGTAAGTTGAGATGACAGTCCATTAGTTAACATAGTCAATTTAATGTGTACAGTCAGAAAAATGTGATGAAGTGTGAATGGACAACTGGGTGACATAGTGTTGTTTTATAGTCAACAGAATACAGGTGTCTTTGGGGTGAGAGGAATGCGATAACCACAAAATACATACAAACAAACATTAACAAAGGAGGCACTGAATGTGAGGGCTGACCGATAATGTCTAATAATAAAATAGAGGCTAAATTGTAATAAGATGTTACAGAATTGTAGGCTTAATATAAAATCATAAAGGTTGACAAAAATTAAGGGTAACAATGAAGTGGAACAAACTGGGTGGTGAAATAAATAATAAAGACATGATAATGATAGTACGAAAAATTATGATCCTGGTGACCAAAGTAGACAAAGAGAGTGAACAAGTTTTTTCTGTACACATAGGTCTGGTCTCTCTCTATTAATCTCTAAAGCCCCAGTTATGGCTGGGAGGCGTAATCGTGTGCCTTTGGGGAGATTGTTCGGTACTCGATACATAACTGTAAATGACTCATCTATTTTGATCCTGTGTTCGCTATCTACTAGATGAGACAGAATTGCACTAGTTAATGATTTGGTTGCTCTTTTCCCAAGTCAAACAGGAATATGTTCACGAGTGCGTAAAGATGAATTTGAGTATGACCTATATAACTAGCTCCACAGGAGCAGTTGAATTTATATACCCACATTGATGTCGGTGTTTTGGGTAATCTATCTTTAATGCACAGTGTCAATATCGGTTTGGTTGAGAAACTAATATGTAGTTTTGCGGCATTAAAAATTCTCTCAATTGATCTTGTTAATCTACGGTTTAATATATCACTGGCTATATCACCTTTGAATTGTACATTTAAGTAAGGCTTTTTCTTACTTGTCTGTGTCTCGCTTAGTTTGTTTTGTGTAGTTTCATGGATATACTTCTTTACAAAGTTGGTAGGATAGTCGTTCTGTAGCAAGGCGTTTGTAAGATTTCTTATTTCATCTTCAATACAATCGTCGATACATACGCGTCTAATTCTATGACTAAGACAACGAATTAGGTTGCGCTTATATTGTATAGGTATGAAGCTATGGAAGTGAGTGTATTGTCCATTTCACGTCGCTTTCCTATAGATGTTTCTCTTTAAGGTAACGTCTGTTCTTTTTGTAAGAAGAACATCCAGAAATGGAATACTACCTTGGAGTTCCTCTTCACAAGTGAATTTAATAGCTGATAATTGAATGGTATACAAATGGACAGCAATTGTTTTGGCGGTAGAGTGTAATCAAAGAAAGAAAGGTTTACTTTTGGTATTAGATATTTGGAGGCAATCGGCAGTAAGCCTTGAACCTAGGTTTAGTGCTACTTACCACACCCTCGAAGGAGATCAAGTCCCTTCTGAGATCCGAACCCGCGTCACCCAGTGCTGCAGTCAGAGACGTTACCATTGAGCTATCCAGCCTCTCGATGGGCCTCCCATAGGACTGTATTCTTGATTGGACACTAGTCAGTAATGTGTCTAGTCCTATCTTCGGTGCAGACTGAATTCTGTCAGTCAAGCTTGCAATATGACTACCATGCTAGGTGACTCGCCATTACGGTGCACTGTGAATTGTTGGTATTAGATGGTTGGCTGACTAGTAACCGACCAAAAACATCCAATAAAGTCCTACAGGAAGTCAGCTGCGAGTCTGAACAGCTTAGCGGTGACCTCTGACTGTAGCACTGAGTGACGCGGGTTCGAATCCCTGAAGGGACATGAGCTCCTTCGAGGTTGTAGATACACCCTGCTGTTGAGTGCCAACTAGCACGAAACCTAGGTCTAAGGATTACAGCTGATTGTCTCATAATACAAACGGTTTCTGGGACAGACTGATGGTTGCTGGTATAAATACTGCTTTGACACAGGCTTTCCTTTCAGTGCTAAACACTAACATTATATTAAGTCCGGCAAAGTAATATTTTCATTATCAACAAACCAAGTAGATTAATAATACTATTCCGTTGGGTTACGAGTGGAACATAGGGCTTCAACAACACGTCTCCACTCTGTTCTATTTTCCGCTGACCTCTTCATCTGCGTCCAAGACTTCCTATAATCTCTCATCTCTTCCCCGCAAGATCTCTTCCGTGTCACCTTCGGACGACCCAATCGTCGTTTCCTGCCGAGATCCTACTCTAGCGATGGCCTACATTGCGCGCGATGTCACTCGACGGCCTCCTCAGCGTATTCCAAATCCATCTCCATTTCCATCTGCATATATGTTCAGCAGTCAGTTCTTCGTTGGTTTGAAACCAGCCAGTTTCTCGCTGTCAACTCTTTCTGGCCATTTTATCTTAACTATGGAGCGGAGGAAACTGTTGGAAAATGTCTGCAACCTGTTGGAAATCTTTCCTGTGACGCTCCAATTTCCTTACTCGTACGGAAGAACAGGCTTATCATTTTGTTGAAAATCCGAATCTTGTTGTTTATGCAAAGTGCAGTAGACTTCCAAACTGAATTT